ATGTACTTGGAGTGTTCCCACATCGAGACGTTTGAATGCGGTTATAGTAAATGTAAATGGTCCATAATGTTGATCATAAAATAATCTCCAAAACCCGTAGCCAAATTCCAACAATTGAGGCGAAAGAGAACAATTACACATCAAAATGTCATTAGCAATGAGGTAGTAAAATAGTTTAATGAAACGATTGCATAAATTTTGGCCTCCTCTCCTTCCCGCTCTGCCCATATGGTAGCTTTAACTGACGGCTTTTACGCAACTGCTTTTCCCTGTCGCGTAGCTTAAGCTCCTGAATGCACTGCCTCCCGTCACAAACGACGAATAGAGGTGACTACCTATTCCAGTAGTCAGTAGAGAAACTACTGCTACTTAGATTAATTTTAGTAACTCGTGTGACAGGTGGTAATGATAGCATAGACTGAAAACATTTTCGCATTCCACTAATGAGCCTACAATTGCCATACCTCCCTCCGCACACCTTTCCAAGCAAAACTTTTGGCGCAGACCTGACAGTTTCGCCAGGAACAACTCTAACCCCGGGTCTAAATGTCTCCGTTAATCAGAGAAACGGAAGACAGTTCAGACACTTGTCATTAAACCAGGAAAGTTTGGAGGGATGCAATTCAACCGTTAAGCGAATCGACTTCATAATCCTATATTTTTACAAAGTTTGTTTCCATGCGCCTGAATATCTACGTTGTGACGGCCGAAATGCAGGAGTGACAACATACTTAGAAATAGGGTCAAAAAATGAGGATCTTATAAGCCTTCAATGGCACAAGGATTAACTATAATGAAACTAGTAGCTAACATAACAAAAGCAAATTGCTAAAAATTTTTTTCTCTCACCTCTGAACGCCTTTTCTGCCTGTGCCTTCTCCAGGCTCGTTGAATTGTCATGGCAGCAACATTATCTAAGCGTTCGCGTTGACAACGAACTTTATATCGCCTCCAGGTGCTTTGAATAAGCGTGGCGGCAGTGGCATGCATCTGCATGATATGAACTCTCTTCAGCTAAAATAAACAACAAGGACAAATTTTTGAGGTGAGAAAGGAATTACAAAGCGTTCCATACCATGCGCTTAGTGAATGTTCGTAAGATTTCACCGACACAACTCGTTAAAGTACACTGTAAGCTGGCGACTCGGTCAAGACATTTTCCTTGCATAATTGAACCCTCCTTGTTAAGGACATACCAGCACAGAAAATTTGTCAAAATCGTAGGCGCGGACGTGATTGACCGCAATCTATTGGAGTCCGCAATTAGCAATAACCAAGAAGGCTCTTCAAACTTTCAATTCCACTAACAAATGCCTGTTGAAGGAAAGAGCACGTCCTCGATTAGCACTTTCCCGCAATAACACAGGACTATCCGGAATGACCCTTTGCTAGTCGTTCTTCGCCCAGTTCCATCAATTCCAGCAAAATACACAAATGCAGAACATGTTGCAAACAGCAGCTTCATGTTGATTCGTTCGAATACTAGCATTGCCGTTTAAATAACACAGTACTAAAAGCGTATTGATATGACGCATTAGCATCGTGAGGGTTAACATGCCTCAAAAGATCATGGAGGACCCGCACCGTGATGCTTAAAGGATGCTGGGAGTGTATCGTATCGACGCAATAAAGGCAGTTAGAGAAGAAGCTTTTAAAGACAACGTGTTGCCAGCCCTATCAGATCATCTAGCATTGAGGGGAATCGACCCATACCAAGGCTTTCTAGATGAAATTCGCACACGCACACCCAAATACATTCTCCTTCCTTTTAAAAAGTAGGTTCTCTTAAAAACCTTCAAACAATTTACAACAAACCTAAGGGACAGGCTATTAGAAGTTCCCTCGAGAAAGACAACTTTTCTTGCTGTTTTACTTCAGAAATTACCCTTTCCTCAATACATTTCTGGCGCTGGACTCGTGACCATCTCCATGCACGTTGAATGGTAATTGCAGCAGCCACCTCTCTTTGCCGTTCAAAAAGATGACCCCTCCACCAGTGCTGAATACATCGTACAGCATGTTGAGTGCGTAGGAAAGCGCGTCGTTGCTTCATAGCACGCCACCAACGTTGGATGATGTAGGCCGCAATTGTGCGCTTACGATAAAGTGCTAGCCACCTACGTGCACACCTTTGCATGGTCAGTACGGCATTCATTTTCACCTGCAAAAAAAACCAAACGAAGAGTAGAAGACAGCGACGACAATAAAGGCAAAGAGAGGGTAAGGATAGCCGATGCAGTAGATGATAGCAGGTCTACTGAGTGAATTCAATTCAGTCAAAGAAAACTGAGACGCACATAAGACATGCTTATCAGAAAGTGGACAAATTGAAATGCGAAGTTCAACAGTATCCCAAGTATAGTGTCGATTTACAGAGCCATAGAAATACTGGGATTAAAATGACCGCCCATTTGGATTCATCACAGGTTCTTAGCGTAATAACTTCATCATCACGATCTCGGATGCCACTTGTCAGCAAGAGAGCATAAAATTTAAACCATTAGCAAGCCGAAACAAGGCGAGTTGCTAAGTATGTGGGGCCGTCTACATTGTACCGCATTCCTGATTTGTCGAAATCCAAGGGCCGAGCTTCAATACTCTGAGAATCAAATAGCGCCACAAGATGCTAGGTGTCTACGCACTTGCATTCACATTAAAACCAGCAAATGTGACAGATCGAAGTGGGATGCTGTCAAATGATTGTCTCAGTTAACACACTTTCTCACGACACGGCCACATGGTGTAAGCGATGATAGTCAATGGTAAGTTCACAAATGGATTTGCAAGATTTCCCACCTTATAATTTTAGTAATAATGGTTGGTGTAAATAAAAGAATTTTAGGACAACTCAATTTTACGGTTCGTCGGCACTCAGCAGCACTTCATGACGCTGTTCAGGAAAAAAGTATTTTCTTACAGAAGCAAGTGTACAAAACGCACTAAAAGCAGTGATTTAGCTCTCATAAAAGAGAAATATTACCCTAGGAAGACAGTCCCAACACGTGATTGAGTGATTCAAACACAACACCCCCATTTGAAAACCAACCACGAACATTACCAATTCCAAGTGCATACACGTGCAAGACCCACTGAATAGAATAAGACGAGAAGTGACAGCGTATAAATTAACTAACCTCGACATCTCGCCTTACAAAATAGGCTCTGGCGGTTGCCTGAAGTTGAATAGCCAAATGAAGGCGCTTCCTACGGGCAAGAATTCTTCGCCAACGGTGTTGGATCCAACAAGCAACTTGACGCTGAAGAAGGAATCGTCGCCGCAGCTGACGACCTCGCCACCACCGTTGAATGACCAGGACGGCGGCCAAACGCGTCATCAAAGCCGTCCGGAAAGCACGTCGGGTGAGTACACCGCGGCAGAGAGCTTGAAGGCGAATTACATTCGATCGAAGTTTGATAAATCTGTAAGAGGTTTGAAAAATTATGGAAGACTTTAAAGCAGACGTCTTAAGCATCAAAAAGAGTTTGGCAAAACGGGTAGGTGGGCGGCGTTACCCTAAATTACATCCTGAACGCAAGCATTTAGACGTAAGGACAGTAAATTCAAGGGCAGTGGAGCAATTTTCGGAGTGGTCTCCGAATTCCAAACCCTTATATGTGTTAAAGTAGGATGATAAATTAAAGTTGGACAATTGGAATGCGGAGAGAAATGAATCAACAGTAAATGTTTTAAGTGAATGATAAAACTCTCGAATAGTGCTTAGGCGTTTTGAGCCGCCAGAGGCAGACTTTATGTTGATTGCAAAAGTCTCCCAAAGCCAAAGAGCCATGGAATGGATTACCAGAAATACTGAAACAACCGAAAGAAGACAGTTTGCACGTTTTAAAAAAAAAAGGATAAAATTGAAGAGATCCTAAAACAAAATGCAGTGTTAAGGATGACGACGGATTCCTATGGCCACCAAAAACCATTCCTAGAAGGTCAGTCGGATAGTTGTACCAGCGGAATTGGAAATATCTCGAGATGTACCTAGACCGAGAAATCTAAAGAATAGCAGAAGGTATGAAGCATTACAGTGAAGTTATTTGGGCCCAGTTAGTGAGGCAGAAACTATAAAGTATAATTAGGGAGGAGTAATATCATGCGGAAATGAAGTCCTTAATCAGATCCGAAGCATCTAGAATAGCCAAAGGATAAAACCCCCTTAAACTTAATAAAAGTACTAAACTAACACAAATCAAAGGAGCTCAACAATATTTCCAAGCAGAAAGTATGAGCACCAACCTGCGCCTTGCAGCATACGCCCTCCACGCACTTTGAATGATCACCGCAGCGTCAGCCTGAGCCTCCAGAGCTTGTTTCTTACGTGCCAGAACTCTCTGTCGAGCAAGGAAGGCCCTAGCATGAGACTGGATCTCCACAACGAAGCGCAGCTTTAGCTGGCGCGCTCTAAGCCATGTCCGTACAGCACGTTGAATACGCACTACAGCTTCAATAACTCTCGACTCAGACAAGGTGATGGTAGAGGCGGATTCCAGAAGCTCACTCTTCTCGGTGGAGGCAGAGGGACAAAGAGGAGTTGTTAGAAGAGGGGCGACAGACATGGGGTGGGTTTGTAGCCCTTGCGCTGCACTAGAAAGAGTGGAATAGCACGCAAATGACCATACCCAAAAGGTGTCTTTTGACAGTGAGAAAGCATAATACGATTCCGCATTCAGAGGGTGACGTAGTCGTACTCACACGTACCCTACGCCACCACCCTCCTAACTCTTCCGCAAACTTGCATGCTACAAAACATTCCAGATTGATTTGGTAAGTTGGTTATTACTAGTGTGCTAGAAAATGTTCAATAACTGTTATGTTCTTTCGTGCTCAAGAAGCAAAAATCCACATAAAATCTGGTAGACGCCAGATTTTGACAACAAAAGGGGATTATTGACAGTACATTGATCCTAATAGCTATTAAAGCCTGAGTATTTCAAAAGACAAGGTGTTTACATAACTAGAAAGCATTGGCCTAGCTAGATGAATACTCGAATAGAAAGACGTATCTAAAAGAATAAGAAGATAGAAAAAAAAATGCTTGCATTGAAATCAAGCAATGTTCTAATGAATTATTAAACGGCATCATGAAGACGGCCCTTTGACACCCGACTCCTAATAATCTCACCGATTCTGCCTCCAACGCGTTTGAATGATGCGGGCAGCGTGGTTCTCAACAACATGGCGTAAACGGGAGAAGCCACCCTTGCCGCAGATGAGACGCGAGGCGAGGTAAGCTAGAGTGGTGAGTACAATACCCGGAGGGAGAAAAGCACTGGGGCATTGTTGATTGAATTTGGCAACAGGAGAATTTGATGATATGGGAGTTGCAGTAGTGGGAAGGTCTGCACCAACATTCAAGAGCATTGGAACGTCACCCAGATGCCAGAGCTATGAATTGGCAGAGAGCATTCGTCCACAATCATTTCAATAATCAATTCATTATTCAAAAAATACATCCTTTGATCGCACACTAGATAACTAAGACTGAAATGATTCACCCGTTTAAACGTCCGGATATTAGACTATTCTACCGACTCAGAGATCTGTACTCACCTCCCAAGCATGATCAAATAGGATGCACGTATAAAACTATGACTCACAACAACTGGCCGTCAATACTTGACCGATTTCAGGCATGAAACTGAGCCATTTTAATCGTCGTCCTTGCCTTCTTCAGCCAGACATTAAGCATCATTCACCGATGCCATGTGTCTATTAAGTAAGCGCACCATCCGGTATGGACTGATAAGTCAAGATTTCCATTTATACCTAGACGATACTGACGCCGTGTCGAGTGGTAATGATGAGTAATGCCAAAAACCCTTCGAAAAGCATTGTTTTCAACAGAGCCGAAACAAGTTCACTCACCCTCTGTTGAAAAAGTCGCAGATTTGCCACGTTGTTATGCAAGAGCAAGGAATGGGGAATGTCGGGATAAAGTTGCGCCGTCAGAGTAGTGGCGTTTCGAACCAGACCACGCGGCAAGAGGGTAGGCAGGTAAAAGTGTAAGATGTAGCATAAGACGCGACCGTCTGCGAATGATTGGTCTAGATTTTCGACCTACAGTGGTTAAGGTAAAATGATGCCATTCTTGCGATCTGAATTTGTTGCGATTACTTTTAGTAATGAAGTAGTGGTTAAGCAAGTAATTCAAACCACAGATCGAGGGGTATCATTGGACACAGATTTACATTGGCTAAACAGATAAACCCTGCATGAGAGTAGCTGATGGGCGCTGCAATAGAAGCCAATTACCCTTAAGCCTATGCGAACGAAATAGAATAAGAAACATAGACCAAGATGCACACCTTGACATTCTCATATCCACCAGTGCAACACACTGCCTTGGCCCACAGAAACAGGATTCGTTGATTGCACTCCATCTCTGCAAATGGATTGTTATTTTCGTCTCCATCAAAGAGCGACGAATTGGTCACGAGAAGGGCTTCTATATCTCGACGTAGAGAAATGCTGATTGCGGTGGTAGGCCTGACGTCAACGAGATGGAAAATTTCAGAGCGAAGTGCAGGTGGATCAAGGAGGGCTGTCACTTGGAAGCGCAAAAGAATGAACCAAAGGAGGGAGAGAGTTTTTGCCCGATGACCGTTCACAATGTCGCGTTCGGTGATTGGTTTGCCTGATCAGAGAAGAGAAAGTAATTGATTACAAGGTGGTCGGATAGGCGAATTAAGGATACAGAAAGAGAGAAAACCGGATTAAGTCGAAAGGCGAGTTAAAACTACCTAGAAAATTGGATGAATGCAAGATGAATTAATGGTTGTGAAAGGCTGACAGGCAAAGAAATCGAGAGTTAAGGTAAGTATTGATGCATGCATGCAGAGGAACAGAGATATAGGTCCGAGATGGAATAGGTGTCATTGAATTTGAAATAGATTTGTGATAAATGGTCAATCAAATTAAGTCAAAATAAATGAATTGAGAACGTTTCTAAGGGGGATGGATGGCTGCGAGTTAAATCGACAACCGCTAAACTTAGCTCACCAGAAGCGGTATATAAACCACGTCTTCCAACAACGCTTTCAAATGCAGATAGAGCCAATTGCACATTGTGGATCTTTTGCAGTCGACTGATGGGTGGAAAACGCACCAAATTCATGAGGCTACCTTTGTGGTTAGGAAAAATTTTCTGCGCATCTGGCAACAGCAGATCAGCCAATTTTCTAAATGAACAAAGGTATGCTAATTATAAAATACGGCGCTCAAATGGTTTGACGACCACTTCCATGGCCAATAATTACTTATGATCCCCCACGCCCAAGCCAAAAAAGAATCAGAGGAATGACTACTTGCTTCACCATCAGTAGCGCTTAGAATAGCCCAAAATAGTAATGAATGAAAAATGGGAACGAAGAGAACTTCGCGAGCCACTTCTAATAGATGATGATGATTACCATTATTATTAATATTGGCCCAGCATCCACATTTCTTATCAGTGAGCCTAATCCAACAGCTGCTTAAAATACGTAAGCAGAGAAGTGTAGCTGATAACTCACACCAGACGGAGGCCATCTCGTAAGTCTACGGCGAGATTGGTGACGGTGAAGTCGAACTCATCGAGAGGTTTTTGGACTACGGAGAGATTTGCGCCAAGGACAGCTAAAGTTCGAGCCAAGTTTGTTTCTCGAGAGAGATAAGCGCGGCCGAGATTTTGGCAAACTTCTTCCGAGGACTAAAATGCGCAGAAACACAGTCTCTTAAGACCCGATCCAAATTGAAGCCATATAAAGGCAAGCCCACTACCTATGGTAGGAAGAATCACCTGATCGATTCGATTGCTGCATCCACAACCCAGAAGTGACTGTTAGCAATTTTACCTAGTCTCCAAGTCACGGCAACAGCATTAGCTACAGAACACTGTCACTGCAGACGACAGAGGTGAGGACGTTACCATGCTACCCATACGAATCTAGTAAGCAAGCTGGCAGTCGTAACGATAGTTGGACAAGATCAACTGATTTCTATAAGTCTAGTTATTTTTACCTGAAGGGTTGGCGCCGCCTACCAATATAAACAACCTATGAATATATGCTGTACAATGAAAGCAAATATCGCACTTATGAACGAGTCGCATTCATTAAAATTAAGGCTATTGATACTCGAATGCCCAATGTCACAGAAGGCAGAGATACAAGCAGCAAATCAGGCCTATCAACTATATGATCTATGGACTAACCGAAAGAAAATGTAAACAAAGCAACTGAGCGCAAGACCAGTTCCAATGGTTTGGATGCCACCTTCTTGATAAAGATTTGGGGAAGACGAGCAGTACTTCAGCAGGTCTCAATGCTATACACCGATTAATAAAATGCTACTGATTTATTTCCATAAATAAATGGTCAACAGGTACAACTCACTTTTACTGGAGCGGATATATTGAAAAGACATGGGTCGAGTCGCAATAGTCTCTTCACCTTGGCTTGATCCAACAGCCAAATGAGAGTAAGACAACGCTTAACTATCTGCTGGTTGTAGTGTTCAGTATAGGTTGCGGCTACAAATTCACAAAGGATCGTTGATTTGTCCAATTTGGCAGGCAAAAAATGCTTAGATGAGAAAGGAATAATTTTGACTTATTTTATCTACCTCCTTGTGCGTTCCAGTTTGCAAATGACATCGCACCGTCCTCATTTACTCCCGATGAATTGGCTCTCTTCCTCTTCTGTGGTAGAGGAGGCACATCAGCGAAGAGGTACTTGTGAACTCGCTTGCTCAAAGCAGAAGCTTTTGGCGGAATGACCATGGGCACATCTGAGGATTGGACCAGCTCTGTCAAAACGTTCACACAGGGCGAGAGCCAAACGGGAGAGTAGTGAGATGTGAAGAAGTCACAAATGCAACGTTGAAGTCCTATGAAAGGGAGACAATAATTAGCCTTTGTTCTTCAAGTCCTACACCGATGGAACATTCGAACCTCGAAAAAAAGGAAGTGGAACAGATTGAAGAGAGCTAATAACGTGCAAAACCCCGCCCGCTTATTGTTTTCTCCAATACCGTCTCCACAGCCTATAGCACTATTCACTTTTTTAATCACGCCTGCATTAAAGGTGTCGTAGTGTAATTCACAAAAATTTCAACTCATTGTATCAGCAATCACTCATTCTTCAAGGAGCAATCTTGTTGCATCAATATGGGAAGAGCACCAAAGTGGTTGAGCAAAATTATTTCTGTTAGAGCCTAAGTTAAACAATCTAGAGGATCATATCCAAAATGGTTTAGTTTCCTATAAATCAAATAAACAATAAGTTGGGAGACAGGTTGTTGGAAATCACGCAAGTGAATTCAGTCAGTTCTAACGAAGCGAATCGCTGAGGAAGAGTACTAGACTCTGCATGGATGAATGATTAACAGCGTGCTAATGAACAAACGGGACTCGATTGGCGCCAAATATGGTTAACCTCAGCTAAGTCTGCACATCTGTTTGAACCAGTAGCTAGTAGAACTTTTTTGACAAATGTAGGAACAATTTTTCGTACAGCTTCGCTGGTCCCTTGTCCTTCTGTTGCGAACAAGCCCACTGACGGTGTTACAACAGAGGCAGAGAGAAGTGTGATTATTCATGGCAAAACAAAATAGATAGTCAGTCAATAATTCACCCTTATCAGCACGGAAATTGAGGTCCTGATTGACTGCTAGTCGCTGGCCATCGATCTCACGTTCTATGCGATGTGCAGGTGCAACGAAGGTTGGACAACGGAGGAGACGCAAAACGGCCGCGCGAGAGCTTTCGATTCGGGTACTAGGATTACCGTTAGGGACGGAAGGTTGGGCGTTTTGGCCACTAGCGAAAAGGTAGTTTAGCCACCGAGTAAAGCCTGCCTCATTGGCACTCGAAAGGGCGGCTGAGGCGTCCCAACCGAAGATATTGGCACCACTCTTGCTGGTTTTTGTGGAAGTGAGAGTGTTGCCATTTCCGCTGCAACAAGCACTGGAAGCGAAGATAACGCCAGCATCTACAAGCATATCAGTGGTAACAAAAAAGTTGAAAAGCAATCTGAACTAGTCAATCGACCCCCGTTTTTAATCGTCCATTCTTGACTACAGTGGTCATTTCATGCCAAAAGTCTCTCAAATCCAAAGGTACTTGGACTTACTCAGAACGGACAAAATGCAACGTATATGCAACACACGGTCGCATGAACTTCTAGAGGAAAAAAACTATTGGACCACTCATTCCAATGCTAAAAGGACGAGTTCGATTTTCAGTAATGGTACAAATAAGATTGCCGAAAGTGACGCCAGTATGAGCGACTGTTCTCAGAAGAACCACAAAGCGCACCTTTGATGCTATCCATACATTTTAAAAAGATATGAAGCTAAAACAATATCGATTCTGTAAGTACCCATCGAGTAGATCGGCTTGAAGGTGTCACCGCCAAATTCCTGAGCCAAAAAGTCAGGAGACAGACACCAAACACGGCCATCACCGAAGAACAAATGCGTGGGCGTACATTCATGCACGAGGCAGGATAGTTTTAGCTCATCACACTTGTTTAACTTTTGGCCCACTTAACCGAGAAAGTGAGTCATGGGATATTTAGAGGGTGATGAATCAAGTAGGGGGTCCTTCCAGAAATTAAAAAAAGAAACGCCTTCTGGATCCTCAGTCATTCTTAGCACACAGATCAAGGCAACATTAATGCAATAAAATGGTTTTATCAATCAGGGCAAATTCAAAGAGTACCTCTTTTCACCATGGGAGAAAGAAGGGCGGGGGAGATAAAGGTGGTTGCCTCATTTTCCGGAGTTCGCTGCAGGTCGCTCACAGCAGAGCCTGATCGCCGAGGCGTCCGAAAATCCTCCGCTGCCATAACCGAGATCGCAACCCTCGTGTCCAAAGAGTGGGACCGACGGATATTGCGGTCGGTTGCAAATGCAGCTGTGAAGAGAAGGAAAGGATACAAAATATCTTCCAAAGTTCCAAAGGTCAGGTGTTTTAGGAGACAGTGTTACAGAAACTGCCGAGGATGGAAGTGAGAGCGAGTGGAGGTGTCTCACCCCCCTCCCCTTTTAAATCTTATAAACATTTTTGCTTTTTGATTCGCCTGAGGAATCTTAAATAGTGCTTTTGCATGCTAACAACAGAGTAAATAAAAATTGATTGATATCAGTTCCCTCGTCACTGGTTTATTTTAAAGGCCTTTTTTAGTAATTCATCAAGCCCAAAGCAGTTGGAAATGTCTATTCCACGGAGTCAGGTGCACATGTGAATGGGGAAGAAGACCAACTTCAAATTCCGTTAAAATTTATTCGCCTTTAGTTGACGAGGTAAATAATGTAACATAATCCCTTCCGCTTGTTTTAAGTCCACCCAAGAAACAATATTGTCGTACCCTCGAGTATTCCCCATCAACCATTGAGCACGCCTATTTTCAACGCAATCGACAGAACGTACTCCAATCAGATCAGCCATCAATACAAAACGCTTTCATTTCATCAAGCATGGACGATGAACTCAAGGACACTATGCATAATAAATTATGCATGATCAGCTTAATTCGACAACTACGGCAAAGAAATAAACTATTATATTTACCAGGTCCAGGCAACCAAAGCTTCAAGGAATAAATGGAACGAAACACCGACTAACAACTCCCAACACTAGGCATCAAAACAATCAATACATCGGTAAATGAGCCAACCGACCTAGAACTCGAAGTCCTAGCGAAGAATGCCTCAGCCTTCTTTCCTTAGCGGCCATAGACACCCCAGGTCTGGAGGGCTGAAGGGCCACTCCAAACGATCGCACAGGCTTGGAACAATGAAGAGACACTAAGCTATTTCTGTTGCATCGGATGGACTTTCTGCTGAGGTTCATATTCGAAGTGAGGGGGAGTTGTGACAAAACTCCTCGCGTTGTGACCTAAAATAACAAAAGAAGACCTCCATGCCCGAAACCATCTTGAATGAGAATCGAGCAGAATGTGTACTCACTATTCTATTTTAAATAGGGTAGAAGAACTAAGCAAAAATCAATCGAATTATATTGGCGTAAGTACCCGAACCAGAGACAGGCAAATTCAATACCGATGACATAGGAGTGAATAAATCAAAGCTGCAACTAATAAATGACCACTGGAATTGAAGGAAAACAAGCGGAACGATAAAGTATTAAGTTCAAGGTGGATGAACTCAAAAGCCTGTAAGCACAAGGAAGGAACGAAGACACACTAATCAAGGCAGTAAGAAGTGGGGAAATCCGTAGGTTCAGACCGTCCGTATCTGTGAAAACTAAACAACAAACATCAACCTTCATGCCTGAAACATGACCATTTTGGGATCGGATTCCTCATTCTATGAGCAACGCTTCTCAAGGCCAACAAATATCAAAGTACCCACTCCCTTAGTATCGAAAATATTCCTCTAGGTGAGAAACCCCGCAGAAATCAAGTGCAAATCTACAGTGACTAGTCTAGGATATGGTTAGAAGCAGCACTCTTCAGATTAAAAGTGAACGAAAGAAAACTAAGGTCCAAATCTCGACCTACTTCATTTTCCGAATTCTCATAATTGTGGGAGGTCGGCCTAGCAGGGAAACCCTCCCCATCGCAATTTCTTGAACACTAAAAGTCAAGAGCCAGCCGTAAGTTTAGCGATAAATTATTTCAGACATAGTCTCTAACTCACCAAAACATTACGAGACTTTTTCCATAGCTTCATGCCTCCCTGAGTAGACTGCTTCACACTACTAGCGATAAGTATCGCTTCCACAACAGCGGCGCCACTCAACTGGAACCGCAAGATATGGCGAAGCGAAGGGCTCAAAGACGTATTTTTTCCTTGATTCAGAGGCAGAGGACCTGGTTTCGGTGTCCAAATCACCCGCAAAAGGCAGTCACCATGAGGATCCAAATGAAGAGATTTGCAAGAAGTGAGATTGATCGCAGGTGCAGAGGTGTCAACAAGAGCTTGGGTTTCCGGGTCTGGAAGATTCTCGGTATCTTCCTTTGTCGTAAAAACCCAAAAGAAGGCAAATTCATCACTAGTTGGGTAGCGTTTGCAGTGAACCTAAAGAGGAGCGCATAGGTATACAAAAGGAAATAGGTAGTGTAAATAAGAAAAGTGCCTACGATTATGGATGCAGATTGAGGATTACGAAGGCGTAAGTAACGGGTGGATGGTAACCCAACCGTTAGAGAATCGTCAAAATCGACCACCGCGCGTTTGGAAAAGGGAGCAAGGTTAAGATTTTCGGACACTACCACAAGGTTTGGCAGGAGAGACGCACACGGAAATTTCGACGAAACTGAAGGCTTAAAAAAATAATGAAGTTGAATAAATGCAAAAAGGCACAAATCCGAAACAGACAACAACTCACTCCATCCGCATCCTCATCGTGGGCGGCAAAAGCCTGTTTGGTGGCATAAAACAGGTTCAAGGGTTGGGGCTTTTGCCACCGCTTTCGAGACTGCAAATTGAATAAGAATAAAATATACACACCACAGACATATACCAGTGCTTGCAACTGGATAAGATATGAACGACTTAGAACTACAGTCGTACACACTCAGACTTTCAACCTTAAACTACAGCATATATGAATTGAGAATTCATAAGCCACTGACTTTGGTCAGTAGAACCACTGCTATGAGAACGAAAACAAGTCACGCAACGCAAGCGACGGCAAAACAAATTTAATTACCATAACTTCGAACCCAAATGTACCGCAAATGTACTGCTCAACTCGATCCCACTAAAAGGCGAAATCGAGCCGTTTAAACAAAGCAATAGCATTTGCATAAAATCGCTAAAAAACAGCTGAGGTATATATTCACATGTGATTGTCCTTCCTGAGTTTAAGCTTCGAATAATTTGGAAAATGAGGTTGGTTGCATTTTTTAACTAGGGTTACGTCAATTGTGCGACGGAGAAGTTACGTAAAGCTAGAAGCCACGGTATCGAGTTCGCCCTTACTGACTGCTTTTAATTTAAAGCGAAGAGGTTGAATTTTGACTTGGCATCAGCGTTAGCTTACACCGAAGAGAGCACTGCCACTACCAAGGTGACCGTCAGTCAAAAGTAAGTTGAGAGTATGCTAAAATCGCCGTCCTAATTGAGCATTATGAATAAAATTTGCGTTTGGTATCCTTCATATATGGCCTTAAATTACACAAGCACTTTGCTGACAGCCGAATTATACAGTATTAGCAAGGTTTTCGTTAAAGTGACGAAGCAGGTAGAAGAAGGGTATTCTCATACATGAAAATATTTGTAATGCCAAGTTCATTCTATTGGACTTGCGACTAGCTGATACGATGAATTAGACTTTTTTAATAAAAGAAGACATTGAGTATGGTCAAAAGCTTATATTTGAGCAGAAATGGTGGAAACGATACCGCTTTTTGGTCCCAAGTTTAGCGCTGGACAGAAAGCATGAGGACCGGTAAACTGGCCGCTTGCCATATAGGCATCTCTATAGTGTTCATCCGCTTTTACTGGATGAATTGGCTTTTGAACTGTAGTAACCGCCCGTCAACCCTCTGGTCCCTGATCCTCAGATTTCAAGAGGCAGTTTGTTGCAGACGCTCTATTAGGCACTGCTATTAGGAAGGATGGTAATGGGATACAGATGAGATGAGTTGGAGATATCAATCAGAGGGAGCCCTCTCGCCGACTTCACGCACGTGACTCACGATCTCCATTGGTTCCCGCCTCTCACATATAAAAGTCACTTAAATAAACCAGTATATATTACAACGACTTTGCATCTCATCTTCGTAATAGTGTTTGCACTCGCTAGCTCTAACCCAAAGTAAAGGGACAAATCATGCGCATAATTTAACGGCTAAAGTGTGGTACTTGAGGGTGAACTTAGCAGGTAAGTTAACGTATGACCATAACTGTAGCGTCTCGAGACTTCCTGATTAGTATAAGAAATCAGTAAGTGCAGCTGGATACATGCATTCTGAAGGTGGCAGGACAAATGGGCCTGGGCATGGCTCGAAGACCAGCCCACATGTACAAAGGCCAAATAAATCCTTAAGTGACCGTCAAACATCATTTGGTCACAAAAACAAAGTACTACACTACCCCTCCCTTCTTTTGAGCGACGTCCTCGGCGTCTCTCCTCCCCTCGTACACCTCCCGCGCCAGCCACCACAACATCTTCGGTACTACATGAAAGCAACTACGAGCCAACCGCGCCAGTCGACAGATAGCATGAGACTGGATCTGGAAGTACGTTCGATCTGACAACCAGATACGGGGCCGGATACTCCTGATGACCATCAATTGCTTCCAGGACTAGACGGTGTAACTCTGGTCTAAAACATATATGTTACAGGGAAGACGGATGAGCCGCTGTCCCGTATGTAAGAAGAACCGTAGTGCCATTTCCGACATCTAAACACGGATTTTGTATGGGAAATTCCGACACGAAACTTCTCCAGATAGTTCACGGCGGTGTCGCTTCAGTTGTCAATAGCTTGTCTGTGGATCACGGGAATAAGGTGAAAACAAATGCAGACGTTGGTCGAAGTCCTTTGGTTGTGAAGGCTTCAGGGATTCTCCGTCATCAAGGTGAATGCGCCTCTTTCAATTCACGTCCCCTTTTCGCCTATATCTTCAACTATTGCACTTCGATATAGTCCGCCTTCCTTCTACGCATGTATAGCTCATGATTGCCGGTGCACAACTCCAAAATGCGCTTATTCATCTTGAGTTCCTCCACCAAAAAGTGTAAGTCCTTTGCAGTCTTAGATTGTAAACTTCTTGTCGTGAAAAGAGAGGTTTCGTGTTTCCGGCCAAGGAAACTCGATTTTGGGGTCCAAAAGACTATCAACCTCATAGGTACTCAAACCCAGAACATCAACACCAAGAACAAGCGACATACATCTTCAGATCTTGTGCGATCTGTAGGTGCTGAACCAATGCATCATCCGAGTGAGCCCTTTCTCGTCGGCTTGTTCGTGGTGTTCTTTTCCGGAAATCAGTCGATTAATTGGCAAAGTGTAGCAACACAAACGTAGGATGCCAGTAAGACAGCGGTGCCTGTTGTGCAAGAGATTCTCCCGCACACTATGTCGCTTTGAACAAATGACCAACGAAGAACAATCCGCAGAGAGTGATCCCACCTCGGTTGGAGCAGAAGGTCTTCAAAAGCACTATATTACCTAAAAGCCGTTGAAAATGTCGAGTTCGCTTTCCGCTGCCACCAGAGTAGCGTTCCGAGACTTCCTAGCCCGTATTTCTCTTTGGTCAAAATAGTAGTGCCACTGGAGATGTCATTCGTCAAAGCAATATTTGGAGGCCTTTATTCAATGCCTACACATTGTTCGAAGTGGGATAATTCAGCTGAACTATGTCCCTAACTTGCAATGTAAAGCAAGTTGTCGAAACTGAAATAATTCCATCTGCCAACAATAATTACTCGATTTCTCGACGATCAGCATAAACTCCTCGAAGTAGCAAATACAACTGTAGACTCAGCCTGCCTACCCGCAGCCTCCCGAACCTCGCAGTTCAGGAGAGGGTTAGTAGCAGAAGCTTTATTCGTCATCGTGTGAAAAGAAGGAAAGGGAATGAGGAAAAATGGATGAAACAGAAAGTAGACATCACTCTGGGAACACATTTTCACATTCCTCCCATATTGGATTCGTGTTCAAATTCCTTTTCCGTCTCTCCTCTGTAAAGGCGAACTTCAACGCACGTGTATATTATTATACAGCTCCCTTCTCCTTCGAGCACCGTCCTCCATGCCAGCTAGTAGAGTTCCGCCAGGTGGTTGCTCTTTTGCCAACGCATAGTCTTTGACTTCGTAACATATGGGTGGTGGACCCGTATATGGCATATACTTATTATGATGTACTGT